ATTGCTGTCTCCTATGTGCTCATTCTCAAAACAGTCCAGGGACTCTCCTCCAAAGAAGCACGGCAGAAATCCTTTAGCACTTGTGGCTCCCACATCTGTGTCATCCTGGTCTTCTACACACCTGCCCTATTCTCCTTTTACACTCAGCGCTGGGGACACAATATTCCTGCACATATCCACATCTTGTTGGCGGATCTATATCTTCTGGTGCCCCCCCATGCTGAATCCCATTATCTATGGCATGAAAACCAAGCAACTCCGCCAGCAAATGCTAAAGCCATTCTTTGCAACCCAGTTTGAGTCTTGATTCCAACTGTTAGAAGTCAGAGTGTGAGAAGCTCACCTTGCAGGTGTTAGATGTTATGTTTACATGTTAATATTCAGGTCATTTACTAAAGGGTTCCTTGGAGAAACTCCAAGTTTGGACTATATAGGACTATATAGGTGTATTTGCTGGTCTTTCTCTTCAGTCACCTGCCTTTCAGAACTTTCTTCTCCTCAGAAAACTTTGAAACTTCAGATCTAACAGAAAGCTTTAACAATCAGCTACTAAATCTTCCAACAACCTGGAGAATGTAACAATGCAGCTGGACTCAAAAAATCCTTCTATCGAAGATTTGCAGACAATTAAGCTGCCCAAAGGACAAATGTTGACGGTATAACAGTATAGAATTGGGCTGAGCTCTAAAATTGCATTATTACCACTGTTTCCCTGAATGGTTATGCAAAATTAATTTTAAAATTAAGAGTCAATTTGGGATAGTGGTGAAGGTGTTGCCTAGAAATCAGGAGATGATGAGTTCTACTCCTGCCTTGACATGAAAACTGGCCAGGTGACTTTGGGCCAGTAACTGTTTTTCAGTTCAACCCGCCTCACAGGGTTGTTGTGGGGAACATAAGGAAAGGGAAGTGTACCAAGTATGTTCACCATTTTAAGTTGTATATATAAAGGCAGGATGAAAAATAAATCTAAAATAATTGTTATTGCCTCAGTCTCTGTTAATAGGACACCTTGTCAGGGTTAGTCTTTCCCAAGGTGGTGCCATCTGGGTAATTTGCCCATGTCAGCTGAGAACCTGGAGTTCTACAATATAACCAAAGGGTGCCTGTTACAAGCTGAGGAGGGAAAGTCAGGACAATTACGGAATCAAGTGCAGAGGCCCCATTGAAGTGTTTATTTATTATTTATTTTATTAGTTCGATTTATATGCCGCCCTTCTCTGGAGACTCAGCGCGGCTTACAATGCATTAAGCAACAGCCTTCATACTTTTGTATATACCTGCTTAGTAGGGCTTTTTTGCCCCCCCCCCAAGCGGTGTTCTATTTTATACAAAGTCAGCTTATTGCCCCCACAATCCGGGTCCTCATTTTACCTACCTCGGAAGGATGGAAGGCTGAGTCAACCTTGAGCCTGGTGAGAATTGAACTCGCAGTAATTGCAGGCAGCTGGCAGCTAAGTGCTACTTTAACAGCAGTTTAGTCCGCTGCGCCACCAAGGCGCAGATCTGCTGGTAATTACCATTTGGTTCCATACACTCCTGTTTTTGAACGTCCTTGATTAGGCTGACTAAGGATTCACTTTCTATGCAAGAAGACACAAAAGATAAGGAATAGACAAGAGGGTAGCAGCTTCTAAACCCTCTGAACATTCTTGTTTCTAATGAGCACTTTGTTGGGGCTCCAGGACTGGAAGCAGTTGGAACAAGTTGAGTGTCCATCTCTTGGAACATTGCTAGACTGTGTGATCCAAAAGTAAAGATCTCCCTCTTGCTGGGCTCCCTTTATGCCACCTCTCCTTCTATGCCTCCTGATGCTTAAGGAGGTTGGCAGAAGGCTACTGGAGAGTACCCCTTTGCTGCAGGAAGACCCAATCCAAGCCCAACAGCTGGGCAGTACAGTGTTCATCCTGAGAGAAAGCAGGAACAATATGGCTGTCAAAGAGACAGTCCATGGCTACAGAGCCTGTGATTGGACCACACACCTCACCCTTCAGTGGCTCCAGGCTCAGAGGCAGGTGCAGCGAGGACAAAAACAGGAAAGGAAGTCTCTTCTTCCGCTGCCTGCTCTTTGCCAGTGGCCCCATCATTGAAATCCCAACTCTTTTACATGCAATGGGCAGGATTTCCACTGCATGGTTGCACCCACTATTCTGACCAGTGGTGAAATCCAATTTTTTTTACTACTGGTTCTGTGGGCGTGGTGTGGCTTGGTGGGCATGGCTTGGTGGGTGTGGCTTGGTGGGTGTAGCAGAGGAAGGATACTGCAAAATCCCCATTCCCACCCCACTCTGGAGCCAGCCAGAGGTGGTATTTCCCAGTTCTCTGAATTACTCAAAATTTCCACTACCAGTTCTCCAGAACCTGTCAGAACATGCTGGATTTCACCCCTGATTCTAACTCTTTTTAGCTCCTGCAGACTGCTGCTTTGCTGCTCTTTGATTGCTAAAAATTGAACAACGAGACCAGCAGTGGGTTGCAAAAACCATTGCTACCGGTTTACTCGTGCGCGTGTACGAGCTCACATGTGCGTGAGATGCTTCTGCACGTGCGCAGAAGCATCCGGCGCAGGTGGGCAGAGCCTCCCGCTGTCGCCACTACCAGTTCGCCAATCCGGATAGAACTGGTAGCAACCTACCACTGAACAAGACCTCCTTTAAGCCCATTCCCAGGGATGGGCTGGAGGGGGAGGGGCAAGAATCCATTTATTCAGCCATGCCATTTCCTCAGAAAGATGTGATATTATGTCATTGGCATCATTCTCTGTCCTTTGCTTGATGGCATTGTTACACAATTGGTGTCAATCACTATAGAAATATTATCCGTCGCTTGCAAAACCCATTGCATTGAGGACGAGTGGATCAGAATTACCTAGATCTTTTGCCACCCTGAGAGAGGAAGCCCATGAAGATTGAGTAGTTGATTGCTTAAACTCGGCATACCACAATTCAATTACCAAAGCCAAATGGCAAAACTTTACCCTAAAATAACCAACTTTCCCCATCTGTATGGTGGTTCCAACCACTTTATGGCCCTGAGCCCCACCTCAAAAGAATTTAAGCAGTTTTGAATTTGATGGGGGATTCAAAACCGCCCAATTTCTGAAATCTCACATCAATCCAGTTCTGTCTTTTGCGTTCATGAACCAAAGATATTTAGCCTGGTGCCATATGGGGCTACAATTCCCAGCACACTAAGGCAAAGCCCTTCCTGAATAGGATGATGGTATTGGCATTGCTACAGTCCCGGCATTGCAATTCCACAGTGCACCAAGTGAAGCTCATGATGACTTTGGAATTAAGAAACCCAAATGGGCTAGGTTTTCAACTAACCCATTTTAAAAATAGAATCGGGTTTGGTGTTGCAGCTTGTTTCTTCAGAAGACTTAAAGCCACTCCAGGCACCTGTTTTACTGAGCAATCAAGGAAATCATCTTGTGTGCGTTGGCCCAGTCCAAGTCTGGGTTCCTTTTATCCGACACAATTTGAGTCAATAATCATGCTGAGAGAGGAAACTGAGATTCAACACTTTATTTCTGTGCAGAATTAAAGAGAAGTACACTTGGAACTCAAGTCCAAATCAAGCAGGCCTGCTGATATTCAGTTTTTATAGCATTAATACCATATATACACATCAGAATTTTCTGATATTGTATCACTTCTTCCTAATTTGCTGAAGATATGTGCAATTTAACATCTCATAATATGCACAGGGGTGTGTGTGTGCACTTACTTATTATTTATTTATTTATTTATTTTGTCGCATTTCTATGCCGCCCAACTCCCAAGGGACTCTGGGTGGCTTACAACAGAGAATAAAACAATGCGAACAATCCCATAAAAAATGTTAAAAAGAAAAACACTAAAACATTAAAAACTTTAAAAACGTTAAAACACATGCACTCCAATTCATGGCCAGGTCTCGCAAGATCATTATAATGAGATCAATGGCCCCAGGCCTGCTGGAAGAGCCAGGTCTTCACCGCTTTGCGGAAGGCCAATAGGGTGGGGGTGGTCCAGACCTCAGGAGGTAATTGGTTCCAGAGAGCCGGGGCAGCCATGGAGAAGGCCCTCCCCTGCAGGCCCGCCAGCCGACATTGTTTAGCTGACGGGACCTGGAGGAGACGGACTCTGTGGGATCTTACTGGTCACTGGGAGCTATGTGGTAGAAGGCGGTCTCGAAGATAGCCTGGCCCTGAGCCATATAGGGCTTTAAAGGTAATGACCAACACCTTGAATTGCACCCGGAGACCAATAGGGAGCCAGTGCAGCTCGCAAAGAATTGGTGTAATGTGGGTGTATCTAGGCGCACCCACTATAACTCGTGCGGCTGCATTCTGGACCAACTGTAATCTCCGAACACTTTTCAAGGGTAGCCCCATGTAGAGCGCGGTGCAGTAAACTCTGCACCTCTGAGTGTGCTTTTTAGCATGCTAATGATAAGATCTTTACCTTGGGACCTTTGTCCAGCAGCTTAAGCTAAATGTCCAGTTTCCTTTCTTTGTTCCAGGTAATGGGCCCCTTGCAAAATTGTTCAGCAGTGTAATAAAGCCACAATCATCCAGCTAGACTAATAGTCCCTGTAACTGAAATGTTTATGGTCATCTTCTTTAGCTTCTTCAGTTAAGTGTCAGAGTAGGATTTTAGCTAATTGCTAAAAAAAAAAAAAAAAAAAAAAAAAAAAAAGCAAATTCATAAAGTGATTCAGATGGACTATTCTAGTTGAAGCTAATTTATGGCTCACTTGCAAAAACCCCTTAATAGTTTGCTAATAAATTAATAGGCCAGGCCATCATATGAATGCAATCATTTTATTATTACTCAAATTTCAAGTCCAGGCCACATCAAAGCAGTTTTTGTGACATTACTGGCATCTCCAAACCTCTGGTTGGAGGTTGCCATGGCAAGCATCAACATTTTCAGTATTGTTTGTTATTCTGGACTGCAGCACTGGGAAACTGGAATAACTGGAAAGCAATTCCAGTTATTCTAGCACTTTGGGAATAGCAAATATATCCCACATATTCTTTTAGAAAAGTGACCAGACCTGCTCCAGTGATAACTTCCATACCTGTGATTAAATTTCTTCATCCATCATGTTGCAGGTACACATTTCCAGAAGGGGGCTGGGGCCAACTAATGGGAATGTGAACTAAGAAAAATCTGCAAGACAGAAGCCAAAACATTGGATTCAGAATGTCCCTAGTTGATGGGCATTGTGACCACAAAGGTAGAAGTTGCTCTGGCTCAATGATTTGGAGGAGATAAGGGGGAAGTTAACCTAAAAGAGACTCCATTGACCAGATATACTTCCAATCATGCAGTTGCATATTTGTTGAAACTATCATCCATTGCATGTCAAGGGTTTATATGTGATAACCAGCATACTGAATTACACCCAGAAGTGGTAACCAATGCAACTCATGAAGCACAGATGACACATAGGTTGATCATAGTAGGGCATCATGGCGTGCATCACTGCATTTTGGACCAGCTGTAGCTTCTAGATGGTTTTAAGGGCGTCTGATTAGCCTCTGAGCCCAGGATAACATCTTGACTAACTTCCTCTGCATTATTTGAGTCCGGACAGTATAAACAATGGGATTTAAGACAGGGGGAAAGATGAGATAGAAGTTGGCCAGAAGAATATGAGTTGGAGGAGACACCTGATGGCCAAACCTGTGGGTCAGAGAGGAGACTGCTATGGGGATGTAGAAAGCTAAGATGGCACAAATGTGGGAGCTACAAGTGCTAAAAGATTTGAGCCGGGCCTCTGCTGTGTCTAAATTCATCACTGCCCGGAGGATCAATGCATAAGACAGACCAATACCCAGGGAATCAACGATGAGTACCAGAAAGCCAATTGCCATGCCATAGATGTTGCTGATGGAGGTGTTGTCACAGGAAAGCATCACCACAGCCATGTGCTCACAATAAGAATGTGCGATGATGTTGGTGCGATAGTAAGTCAATCTCCTCACAAGCAAAGGAAGGGGCGAGATATAAAGGACACCTCTCAGGAGAGCTGCCACCCCAATCTTAACAACAGTCGAATGGGTTAAGATGGTCTTGTGTCTTAATGGGGTACATATTGCCACATAACGGTCATAAGCCATAGCCAAGAAAATTCCTGATTCCACAGTGGCAAAAGAATGAATGGTGAACATCTGGAGCAGGCATGAGTGGAAGCCAATCTCCTTGCTATTGAACCAGAAGATGGCTAGCAGCTTGGGCAGAGCGGAGGAGGAGAGCACCAAGTCAGTGACAGCCAGCATGGAAAGGAAGAGGTACATAGGCTGGTGGAGGCTGGGCTCTGCCTTGATGATGAAGAGGATGGTGCAGTTCCCCAACACTGCCATGATGTACATGGAGCCAAAGGGGATGGACAACCATGCATGGACTGCTTCCAGTTGAGGAACGCCCATGAGTAAGAAGCTAGATGGGCTGAGACAGGTGTTGTAGAAAGCAGAGGTCATATCATCAACACATCCCAAGGCAGACCATCATTCCTGCAGCTGGAAACATGAATATTTAAAGTTTATTTATTTGTTTGCCTGATTAAAAAATGTATACCACTATCTACCTAACCAATGAAACTCTGGGCAGTGAACTATAATAAAAACATAATACAATTTTTAAAACAAGTTTAAAAGAAGGGAAAAACCAAGTCTAAATACCTTCTCTCAGTGTGATGGGATTATTTTTGAACTGGAGGTGTATGTTGCTTTGCAAGGGTGGCAATTAACAGAAAACAAGACATGGCGGGGGCTTTTATGCTTTTTAAATTTACAGCAAAGCTATTTACAACAAGGATTTACAACAGGCATATATAACACAATCCTGTGGTTCACCTGGTGTCTGATTCCATCCTAACTTTCTCCCAGAGACTCCTCCCTTCTATTTCTCCCACTGGCTCTCTCTTTTCTCCATCTCCCTCCCCTGTTTCTGGACTTATCAAGAGAGAATGAAAAGAAAGCAAAGGGCTGGGATATTACTGTCTTGTGCTCAGTGTGGCTTGAACTTCTCCTGGAACCACTCAGAGAATCGTCTTCTACTTCTCTGTTGGGAGAAGAATCACTTTCAGAGTCTTCTGCCCAGTCCTTCTCCAGAGACCAGGACTTCGCCAATGACCAATGAACCCTTCCTTTGTTCCCATCTTGGGTGTAGATGTCATCTCTTTGAGTCTTTGTTTCCCTTCATTCAGGGAAGCCACCCATGGACCTTTGTTCTTCCTCACCAATCAAGAACTGAAGACTGCTCTGCACACTCGTGTAACTTCAAATTTTCTCTCCAGCCAGTTCTGTATTATTTTTTCCCCCTTCTCCCTCTCTCCAATTTTGGGTCAGATCAGTACTGTATTCCCTAGCAGCTAAAGAGGCGGATGTCCTCCAGGGCTCCAGGCTCTAGCAATAGCACTTAGATTTATATACTGCTGCACAGTGCATTACAGCCCACTCTAAGTGGTTTACAGAATCAGCATGTTGCCCCTAACAATCTGGGTCCTCATTTTAACAACCTTGGAAGGCTGGAAGGATGAGTCAACCAACTGAGTAAATTCTAATTCTTACATACTAGAACAATGAGTCTGCAACCTCAACATCTCCCCATAACAGCTCTGGCTAGCTCATGAACCCCTGTGGCATCAGAACTGTCCTTCAACTAAGTTTCTTCTCCACTTTTCTCTCTCCATTTGCTAGTTCATGCCAACATGACAGCAGCCAGGTTAGATCACTAAAATCCATATGCTGCACACCTATACCTGAACTCCATTAACCCCAATTTTTCCTGGGGTCAAATCCAGGTCTTCATAGCTTTCCTCGTATATCCATATGCTTCCAATAATGGGGCTGTCCACCTACTCAATCCTGTTAGCCTCATCTTGCTTGGAGGAAAGGGAAAGTGGATAAAGATGGATTTCCAGCCTCATCTATAACTGAGATAATCTTCTTAGAAGTCCCTGTTCTGATTCTCTGCTGAGTTGCCCATAACCTCTGTATCTAGACATCAGCACTGCAGCATGTTCTTAACAATGTTCTTAACAGACCTTGTGCCCTCAGCCATTCATCAAACACCCCACAAAAAGTCTTTCTACAAATTTACTCTTATGCCACATTTTCTGACTGCCAGATAGACATGTGGACCCAAACAAGGTGGGAAAGAAATGAATTGAAGGAGCATCACACTAAAACAAACTGCCCAGCATATCCCACGCCCCCATCCCAATCCTTTGAAAAGGAAGGTAGGTTCGGTCCATGGACTTCTTTTGAGACCTCTAGGTAGCCAGTCCTGGAAGCAATAAAGCGGACAGATTCAGATTTATTATACTAAAATGTGGACCTTCAATGGAAAAAGTTGGATAAGAAACTCAGATGCATTCATTCCTAAAAGCGAAATCCATGTTTTTCAAGATATTGCATTTGTTACCCTAACCCATAATGGAAAACCATGCGAATGAATTACTTGGCACAATTCTGTGATTTTGAAAATCTTGGAGAGCAACTGCCTTTAAAATATCGTATGATGTCCTCTCAGTTAAACTGGCTGCAGGACTCCAGATCAGCCTCTTCTGAGGACAGCCACCGTCAAGTGCTGCCCCAGCTCTGGTTCCCAGACCACCTTCTTCCCTTGAGACCCAGCCCTCTTGCAGTTTCCCTTCCCCAGCAACCATGAAGGAATCAGCTTCTGATCAAGGAAACCAGAGCAGGGAGCAAGGCTGTCAACCTGGACAATGGATCACAGCAGCAAGACCCACCTTTGTGTAAACAGAAGCTGGCCAGGATCCTGGCACTTTTGCAAGGGGACCCATCCTTCCAAGCTGCCATCCCAGTCTGTGGAGATCTGAATTCTGTTTGCTAAAATTCCAGCCCACAAAGATGATCACCCATTTAACTTACCAAATTGTCAAGTCAGCTTGGTCACTTCTGCAAGAATGTTGGCTGGCACTTCTTGGTGAAATACTTATGCTGCTATTTCCGGCACCTTGAGGGATTTTACAAGCCAGCAGGGGCTAGCGGCAATTAAGGGTTGGTTTGGCTTGAAAACCTCAAAGCATCAATAAGGTCTAAAAAAATATTTTTTGAGCAAATCATTCTTTTGATAGACCCGCCTAAATGGAAAGTAAGATTCCCATAATTCCCTTAGTCTGGCTAAGTGTAAGCATAATTCCTTAGTAAGCAAAAACCATATTAGCAGATTCTCCTGGTGAAAGATTTCCCACTCCAGGTCCACTTGCTTGGCAACTAAACTCTTTCTTGTCCTGTCTTTTCACTTGGAAGATAACAATGTGCTATCAGGGGTCCCTCCCCACCTAAAATCTCCCCATCTCAGAAGTGGCCAGATGCAAACTAACCACTTCAAACCTTCTGAAACATGGCTGGTAATCTGTGTTTTATTTATGTGCATTTTTAAAACTGCTGCTGTATCATACATTGCAGTGATGCTCTGGTCGGTAGTCTTGGTTTTATGCTGCTGCTTCATTTATTGATTTGTGTAGGGTCAATTTTTTTTTTTTACTCTTCCTCATACTCAAGGCAGCTTTGTTATGATCTCTTCAAACATGGGTGCAGGAAAGTAGCATACAATGCTGTGATTTTTTTTCCTTCCTTCATCTCTTTGGAAAGGTTTGGTGTAACAAATCCAAGCACCGAACCCAGAAAATTGCCCAGTCCCATGCTTTGCCCATTCAGCCAGAGGTGGTATTCAGCAGGTTCTGACCAGTTCTGGAGAACTGGTAGTGGAAATTTTGAGTAGTTTGGGGAACCAGCAAATACCATCTCTGGCTGGCCCTGCCCCCATCTATTCTCTGCCTCCGGAGTCCCAGGTGATCGGGAGGAAATGGGGATTTTGCAGTAACCTTCCACCTGAAGTGGGGAGGGAATGGAGATTTTACAGTATCCTTTCCCTGCCATGCCCACCAAACCACGCCCACAGAACCAGTAGTAAAAAATGTTTGAATCCCACCACTGCATCCAGCCCCATCATCATTTCCTTTCTTGCATCTTCATCCTGTCCGGCTGAAGAAGTCTGGAATTCAGAAAGCTGCCTGCTAAGAAGTAATTGTCCCAGAACAGTGCTAGGTCTAAATCTTTATTGAAACCCAGGCACTTGTTCATAGAGGAAGGTCTGACCCTTCGAAACTCTCTGCTTCCTATCACGTGGCCCAAACAAAACAGGAAGCCCAAAGCTGCAGTGAGTTGGGAGGATGTAAAGGTGGAGGACAAATTTTGTCTTGGCCTCAGTAGCATCACAAAGTAGGGTGAATAAGTCATCCTCCATTGGGCTCCAACTGTGTCCCATCTGGCTTATTTGCCTTTTTAGGCTTTTAGAATTTTATGTGGCTTTTTATGTGTACTGTATGTTATGGTTAGCATGCATCATTTGGCTGGTTTGATCTCTCTCATAGTTTACAATCAATCAATCAATCAATCATAATACAGCTGGAAGGGACCTTGAAGGTCTTCTAGTGCAACCCCTGTTTAAGCAGGAGATCCTATTCTATTTCAGTCAAGTGACTGTCCAGTCTCTCCTTAAAAACCTCTAGTGATGAAGCACCCACAACTTCTAATGGCAAGCTATTCCATTGGTTAATTGACCTCACTGTTAGGAAGTTTCTCCTTAGTTCCAAGTGGCTTCTCTCCTTGATTAGTTTCCATCCATTGTCTTGCCTACAGGAACTTTGGTAAATTGCCCAAAAGAGATCAAACCAGCCAAATGATACATGTTAACCATAACATTAACAACTTTAACACCAAAACTTTTGGATATTGTTATTGCTATAACATACATTCTGGACTCAGAAAATAAATAAATAACTGCAACATCTACCAAGAGGCTTAGCATACTCTGAAAAATGGGAGAGGTCATTCATAACCAATAATAATGTGCATAAGTAGATTGATGTGGAATTGTTTTGATATTAAATATGATAGAATAGAATAGAATAGAATAGAATAGAATAGAATAGAATAGAATAGAATAGAATAGAATAGAATAGAATATTCTTTATTAGTCAAGTGTGACTGGACACACACGGAATTTGTCTTTGGTGCATAAGCTCTCAGTGTACATATAAACAAACAAAGTGATAAATCATAAATCATGATACAATAATAAATCATAAGATACAATCAACAAAGTGATAAATCATAAGATATCAATAGGAACAGGTTACAGGAAACATGAGAAGAATAAAAGCTGAGAAGAATATTTAAAGATGTTAATTTATGTTTAGCATTTATCATTTGGCTAGCTTGATCTCTCTCGCAGATTACAGTACATATAAAAAGCTACATAAAATTTTAAAAGAAAAAAAATCTGAAATTTTGTAAGACCCTAAGCTGTAGCTTGTATATTTTAGGCCTAAATCCAGCACTGTTTTATGACATAGATTTTATATCTTGTGATGTTACAGAATCATAATTTTAAAATGATTTTTTACAGAAAGGTGCTTAACATTTGATTTTTTTTTCTTCCTAGTGTTTTCTTGCAAGTGCAGAGTCTGCTTTTTTCAAATTAGCCGAGTGTTGATCCATTGGTTGCATCACGAATTTCAATCAGACTTGTAGCCTAGCCTAATTTTGTTCCAGATTTGATTAATAGGTGTGACCTAGAAGTGAGTTTCAGCAGGTTCTCACCAGTTCTGGAGAACCGGTAGCG